TATATATATATATATATATATATATATATGTATGATATTCGATAAAAATCGTAACATTCTTTATCATTTCCGTTATTATTATCTACTTCACACAATATCGATAAATGAAAATCGATAAAGGATAAACTAACTCGGTCACGAACGGCTTTACTTTCTCTTCCCCAAGTGGATATTATCCAAGTTGTAGAAAAACACGTGTTAGCAAAGCCAGTTTTATCTTCGTTTGTAACAAATATATCAATGATTTTTCTAAACGTCTTACAAATCGATACGTTATCCTTATACTATTCTTTTTATTCGCGATAATCCGATAATCAAACAAATTCAAAACAAATTCATGATTTGTTTTTTCGTTTTTTTATTTTACGTTTAGATGAATTCTAAAAAAAAAAAAAAAAAAAATAATGAAAACGATCATGATACTGTAGTTTATTTCTTTTTATTTTTTATTATTATTACTATTATTCTGTTTTTCATTTTATCTTTTCTCCTCTCATCGAACGTTTTAACTTGAAAAAAAAAAAAAAGAATAAAGAAAGTCTTCAAAGTTAATTCCTCTTTCGCAGCACGTTACTCGAAGAGCTCGTTCTAACCAACGATTTTTGAAGAAGAATAAGAAGAAGAAGAAGAAGGAAAAGAAAAAGAAAAAAAGTAGGGGAAAAAAGATAGGAAGAACTAGGAAACGTATAGTACCCCCCCCCCTTTCCCCGTTCCTTCTCTCCAAATTCCTTTTCGAATCAAATGGTACTTATTTCTTCATTCGTTTTCTACTTTCACCAACTATCAATTTTCTTCTTTTTTTTTTATTCTCCTTGATTTCATATTAAAGTATATAATATACTTTAAAGAAAAAAGAAAAAAAGAAAAGAGAGAGAGAGAGAGAGAGAGAATAAAGTTATGGAATGAAAAGATGTGTTTCACAAATCGGTTTTATAAAAATGAAATAAACGAGAGGTGGGAGGTAGAAGTAATTTGTAAACAATTGAATCGAATTCATTTATTTCGAATAAAAAAATTTTGAAAAAGATATATAAATATAAATTTGTTTAAATTAAAAAAAAAAAAAAAAAAAAAAAAAAAAAACATTTAATTATTTTAAATAATACCTATTGTTTATTCGCGTATGCATTTTAATTTTCAGATCTTAAAAGTAATTAGATNTCAACGGAAGAAGAAACTACCAAAGAATTGTTCACCTAACGTGTTTTCCTAATTTCTAAACAATTTCTATATTTAGAAAGAAATTTACATTTTTACATTTTTAAGCAATTGATTTTCCTTTTTTATTTAAATCGAATAAAAGATTCATAACGTGTTTGATATTTTCTTATTTAACTTATGATACGAAATTACAAGGAACGAATTTTAAATTGAAGTTCAAATTAATCATTTAAAGATAACTTTATAATATTTTATTGATACTCGTATCGATCTTTCCTAAATCGTATAATATTTACTTTGACCTAACTATACATACGTTATCATAGAACAAAACCTAGTATTTTGCTTGTTAAACGTTCGTGAAAAAGCATAAGAGTTATTCAGAGAAACAATGCTTGATACACGGGGAAAAAACTCACAGGCGTTATCGTTGTTTTCCTCCTTATTAAAAGTGGCCTTCACTTCGTCCCTTTGCAACGGACCCTCGTTATTCTGATAGGGGCTGCCAGTCGCCAGTACAATGGAACTTTTGTTCTTGGCTTCCTCGTCGTCAGTGTTGTTCCATTCTGAGATAACTGCACACATCAGTGGAATTACAATTAATGATATTCGTTCAAGTGATAAAATGTTTCTAGTAGATATTCTAAAATCATTACTATGTATACAGAGTTGTTTATAAAAAAAAAAAAAAAAAATATATATATGAATTATTATTTTTAAAAAGTTTAATACAAGAATGTTAAATTATATACTGGAGTAATTTATCATATAAAATGTTACTCCTAAAATGTTTGAAATAGAACAAAAATAAATTGTATTCGAATATGTTTATGCATTTAACCAATTTTTAAGATGAATTGTTGATCAAACCCTACTTGATCCCGCAGTTTTAGAAACCCATATACCCATTAAAAAAGGGGTTATATGATTTCAAATTTTGTAGCCTACTTTGTAAAATTGTTCTAATGTAAACTGATTAATAAACTATTATTTATATAGATTTTCTTGACAGTAGTATAAAAATATGAAATATTACTATTGATCGTGAATAAATTCAATTAAAAAATATTGGCAATTGTTTTGGATATTTGTAAGTTATTATAGTATGTATATATCGAATCTATATTTAAGATATTATCTTACCTGATTCAAAGATTACTTCGCTGAGCATGATCCACCTTGCCGCGAAATATAGTTGAAGCTTGAGAAAACGAGCTGCACGCGAGTGAAGCTTTATTGTAACTTCGCGAGCTTGTTCCAACACCAGGTCTGGTATGTAAGAGAAATGGACAGGTTCACCGTTAAACTGGTTTCCACCGACGCCGAGATATACCTTAGCGTATGAGAATACCTACGAAGGTTTCAAGCGTGAAATGCCAGCCGTGTTAGAAGACAAAGAAGACTTTGTTTGGCTTGACGCGTTAAAGCAGCAACGTCTTCGTTTAAACAGAGTTTCTAACTATATCTCAGATTAATCTACGCAACGCACACAGATATCACGCAAACACAAATACAGAGATAATAATTTAACGAATAGTATATACATTTTATTATATATATATATATTTGTTGTTGTTGCACACACACACAAAAAAAAAAAGAAAAGAAAACAAGGAAACAAATAAATTTCGTTTGATTACGATTTACCTGCACGTCTTTGGTAAAATAATTGTTCATATGCAGGTGAATGGCAGTGAAGTTTCTTGAATAATCGAATTCAAACGTTATCTCGACCGGTTTGCCCAACATGTTTGGCGTGTCGTTTTTCCATCCAACCCATTCGTATCCTGAAAAAAAAAAAATAAAAATCAGAATAAAAAATAATAATAATAATAAAAAAATAAAAGATAATAAAATATCAGGAAATGAATAATAAAGTATATTTGATATCAAACGTTGGGAACCCCATACGTTCCCCGCGTTTCTCTACGTTCTCTACTATCGTTGACTAACAGTCGTTAATCTTGTTTTTTTTTTTTATTTTTTTTTATTCCAATTTTATTCGAATAATATAGAAAATAAATACACAAATTTATTATCAATTTAGAATATTTTGAAAAAGTACTTTTTCTTTTTTTCGATTTGAAACAGGACAAAACTGTCAATTTAGCTATTCTATGAAGTTGGTAAAAAAAAGGTGGATGAAAAGAAGAGAGAAAGAGAGAGAGAGAGAGAGAGAGAGAGAGAGAGAGGGAGAAAGAAAAAAAAAGTAAATTTATCGAAGCACCAACACATTCCTATCCGATTTCCCTTACACTACCGATTCGTTCCTATATACCCCGTTGCCTGAAAAGTATTATATCCGATAATTTTATCGGTGCACGTACCAACGAAAAATGAAACGTCTCGCGTGATCGTAGCGAAGTGACGGCTTCTACGTGACGCGAATTTGATCGCAAATGGATAACCGCGTTTTCATTATATTGTTGATTTAATTATGAAACTACGTTCTCTCTCTGTCTCTCTCTCTCTCTCTGTCTCTCTCTCTGTACGCCAGACCAATGCGAGTTTTCATCTCGATTGAAGATTTAGCGGTATCGGATGACGCGTATAAAAATTTCTCTCTCTTTTTCGCATACACATACACACACACACATATATATGTATATTATAGTTGTATATATGTATTATATATAGTCGTAGATTCATGCACATCGATGCGCATTCGTTCGCGAAAGAGCTATCATTTAAAACATTTACTCTTTAAATTTAACAGCCATATAAAATCGAATTGGTTTTAATAATAACTTTTCTCGAGGTGTTCATTAAGCATCCTTCGATCGATATATATATATATATATATATATATATATGTAAATATATACGTTCTATTTCTACATATTACTATAATATCAAATTATAACGAATTTATTTAACGTCGATCGTTATCGTTAACGTCGATATCGATGCACTTTCATTCTAATTAAACTATGAATCTCATCGAATTACATAAGTCGTAGTAATGAAATTGCATTCTGTTAAATGACGTTCTAAATTTTTACAAAAAATATATTGAATAAAAAGTTGAAAAGTAATACCAGATGTGATTTCATTCAAGAGTATTTCGTTCTTTCTAATTTAACACATTTTCATCATTATCATTGCCGAGTCAACATCTCACGTGACATTCAGTCAGATACCAGAGCTTTGTTTGAAAAACAACGTAACTTTGAATGCAAGAGTTTTCGTGGCATGGAACAACCACAAAAGCAGTTATATTGCGCTTGCTCTTTTGCCATTAGATTCCTTGTACTAGTTGCGTACGCATAAGGGAGGGGTAAAAAAAAAAAAAAGAACACGTTTCTCGTCCTACAGAAATACACAGGAATTGAAAATGAACTTTGCAAAAACGACTCGACAAAACTCTACGTCGAAAGATAAAAGTAGATTCTCTCATTACATTGGAGAGAGAGAGAGAGAGAAAGAGAGAAAGATATATGATATAAATGTTTATATTTAACAAATATTCTTTTTATTTAATCCAATCTTGATATTTTGATCTCGATATTAAATTTTTTGTTATCGTATTATTAAATTTAACGTCAATGAAAACCATTATTCATTTAGAATTGTTGCCATCGTTTTATTTCGATACGTAATAGCATTAATATTAATATTAAAAATTGAATTAATTATTATTAAATTAATTAATATTAAATAATATAATATATATACATATTAATTTGTAAATAAAAAAAACATTAGAGTTAACGTCCCGAGTTTTTCCCCGTTTAATTTGCTTGCAAAATGTTTACCTTATCGGTGTTAATATTTCCATTATCAGGTTTCATATCCGTACGGTGCAACGGGCTAATGAGTTTAATTAATAATGAGCTTAATATACTGTAAATGATACAAGACAAAATGAAGCTTTTAATTTACGATCGTAGACGACGAAAGCAATATCTTGGCTCTTTGTTAACTTCGAGTTATTATAGGAAGGAAAAATACCATTAGACCTTTTTCTCTCTCTCTCTCTCTCTTGCGTTACTCTTAAATCATCGTTATTTTCTTCCTTCCTTTTTATTTCTTCATTGTGATTTGTTTTTTTTATATATCTTTTTTATTTATTTATTTATTTATATTAGAGCTTATGAAATGTTTTCAGAAATTTCAACAGTGTCGTAGTTTACGTGATGCATGTGCCCGAATCCTCAGATAATTCGGATCGTTCTTCGACAAGAGCTCATCCTTTAGTTCCTTCCAACCTTCGTTGAGAATCTACCAAGTCCTTGGTTCTTCTACTGTGTGTTATATCGCTTTGACTTATCCGTCTTTCATATAAACCTCCGTAGAGTCTTTACTACTACTGCTACAACTATTACTACTACTACTACTAGTAGTAGTATCTACTATTACTACGGCAACCATCCTTAATATTGTCCCACGAGTAAATAGTTTCCAGTTTCCTGTCGTCGCTGCCTTCATTCCCTATCTACCATCAATTCTAAAGCTTCACGAGGGTCGTAAGATAAGCAACAATGTTTAGGTGTGTCTAATGCTTACTTCACGATGATTCTCTCTCACTCACTCACTCACTCTCTCTCTCTCTCTCTCTCTTTCTCTTTAACATTTATATTTTTCTAAAGAAAATACTCGTAAAAATTTAAGAACTTATCAAATACTTCAAATGATTGAAAATTCTTCTCATATTATTCGAAACAAATCTTTGAAAAAGATAACGAAATAAAACTAAGTATGATTAAATCTTAAAAAAAAAGATTAATTATGTGGACAAATAAAAGATGAAAGATTTCGTAAGGAAATTAACGAATCGTGTGTCACAAGCTAATGATTATTTATATTTAATGAATAATTACGTGTATGATTATACATTCTGTTAGACGATTAAGTTTGATCAAAGTAATCTCATTCATTATCGAAGGGCTCGGTCATGAGAGTTGGTGTAATGGAAGTGGTAGAAGTTGGGGGATTTGAGGTCTTTGGGATTATAGGAGTGAATTTTACGTATATAACATACATATATACCTATACGTACAATTATATATATATAAAATAGTCTCGTATAATTATATTAGTAATAGCGATACGAATGATGAAATATGAAAGGTAAGAAAAATAATGTTTCATTTCGATTTGAAATAGAATAGAGAAGAAATCTTCCTGTTGGGTTTCATTTTGGTTTTGTTTTGGAGAGACTTGAGTGTCTTACACGTGGCATTGCCATGGGTTTAAAAGTTTAGGGATATGGGGGAAGAAAAGTGAAGTAGATGCAGACAGTAGGAAGGAAGTGTAGGGGAACCCCCTGGATACTGTTGCTGGTTCTACTGTTACTACTGCGAGATGTCCCTTGGCGTAAATGGAAAGACACAAATGTATCCAGAGAGCGGATAAACAGGCAATGCGGCTTGCAGACTAGCTCTGGTGCTTCAATATAAATGTAAATTGGGGAACAGATTCGAGTGCGCCACCATCCGCGGAACACGTTTGGATTCGAGGGTCCAAGCTTTTCCTTCCTTCCTTCCTTTCTTCATTTCTTTTTTTTCGTTGCATCCTAAGACTATTTTCCTTAGCATAGAATATTTCCCATTTCTCGAAACTCCTCAAACGCATCTGTTATCGATCGGTTGAAAAGTGTTTCAAGTTAACTTTCGTTACTCACGTAAGAATTTAATATATTAATTTAGTATTAAATTAATTGAGTAATTTATAACGTAAAACGTGAAAGAATAGTTTTGTTAATAATATAATACGTTGGTTTATTTTTCATTATTGTTTATCTTGATAACCATTGGTTACGAGTTGTAAATAAGTATTTTATATTATTACATTATTCAGATGTACGGTGTTGATATAATTTTCAATGAAAGAAAGTATAAAGAAAGAAAGAAAGAAAGAAAGAAAGAAAGAAAAAACATATAAGAAAATATCTCTAACTTCGTTTTCTAGTTTTAAATAAATTCTAGACGATCGGAAATAATAGAGTATCTATCTTATCCGGAATATAATTTATGCTGAAGTAGAGAAAAGGTAGAGAAACTTTACAGAGATCAAATATTACATAGAAGGAATGTGATGGAAAATTGGATGAAAATGAAGGAAATTTCCTATTCCCGCATAAAGGATTATTATTATTATTATTATTATTATTATTATTAGATTAATAATGTTAATGATAAATTATCATACTCGATATAACTTTCTATTATTCGACTATGTGGTATTAAATAAAAATAATAATAATAATGTTAAAGACTTTTAACCTAACTTTGATAGAGTTTCAATAGAAATAAATAATATTATTTCTCAATAACATATTTCGTAAATTTCATTTATAACTATTTAACAATTTAATCGTGATAACATATAAATATATTTAAAAAGATGTCTTAAGCGACATAATAATAACAGTGTCCACAATTCCTCCCCCTCTTTCCCACCTCTTCCTTAAAAGCAAATATATTCAAACATTCTCTTTCACTCGTCTTATCCTATACACTCAAAGTAAGTTTGAAATCAGTTAGGAGATGGATGAATGAGCGAGTAAGTAAAAGATAGATAGAGAAAGAGAAAGAGAGAGAGAGAGAGAGAGAGAGAGAGAGAGAGAGAGAGAGAGAGAGGCAGAGGGGAATAGAAATAGAAATAGTATCTCTTGAATCATACTAATTGTAAGACGTCTCTATCGTAATAATCTGGATACAATTTAACGGGAACCGTAATCTTATCAAGCACGAAAGGATTGGGCTGACCTTACCTTTACCGTTACCACTGATGTCCAATCTGAAGTTGTCAGGACCTTTCTGGCCGTCGACAAGTTGACCAAGTCCTCCGGAGAGGTAACCCCCTTCCTCGATACCGTCGTAAGTTCTATCAGAAAGGTCAACCTCCGAGCCCCTTTTTATTCCTTGTGGCATTGAATACGAGACAAGACCCTCTAGAAAAAAGAAAAAAAAAGGAAAGGAAAGAAAAGTAACACCCACGTACATTTAACGTTGATCTTCGAGTTACGTTTACCTCAAATGTATGAACGAACATTTATGAAATTTCTTTGAAAACCCCCAAACACCCCTATTCTTACCCTCACTATTTGTTTTACGACAGGATTACGATATTTTTTTGTTTTCTTTTTTTCTTTTCACTTAGAAAACCGGGAAAATAGGAGTAGTAACTCGAATAAAGATTATTTTCTTTTTCTTTTTTACTGGTTTAGGATAGTCACATAAATATTACTCACCGATCCATGGACAGCCGTAAAGCTCGACGCGCATACACACCATGCGCATATGCGAAGTGTAGGGTATGAAACGAATTTTCGTAGCTACAATTGCGGGATCGAAGATTTGTTCTTTCTCCGTGTAAGGATTGTTGTTACCTGCTAAAAGCTAGAAAAATATCAAAATTTAATTAATTTAATAAATAGATAATAAAACAATAATTAAATGATTAAATGATCAAATCCAATTTGATGGTAATTATTTTTATCACGTCGAAAAATTATAAAGTAATAATTTCATTAAATAATCAACTGTTACAGAGTATGATTCTATTATAATAAAAATGAATCGAATAAATAATCAAACCTGTATTATTTTTACCTTGATAAATTATACTCGTTAGATGCTTGTGTGTGTGTGTGTGTGTGTGTCTGTGTAACTAAAAACAATTGTTACTCAACTAAAAATAATCCATCGTCATTTCGTGATACGTATTAATTTAATTTCATAATTAAAATCGTTGAATGCGGTTTTAACGAAACAATATTAGTAACAATAGAATGGAGTTACCAATGACAGTAAGAGAACCCTACGTTTTAGGTTGTATTAACGTTAAACCTGTGCGCATACGCGAGGGTGCGGGCGCGCGCGAGTTGGTAGCTTGTTCGATGGTGCATGTTTACAACGTTAAGAACGAATCTCTCGGGTTTCGAGTACCATTTTCCAAATCCGATTAGTAAGAAGAGAGTAAGAGAGAGAGAGAGAGAGAGATAAAGAGGAAAGGCTAAAGGGAAAAGGGTGGGGGTCGAGTTGGGGGTAAGTGAACACAGTGGCCCATAGGAGAAACTCCTCTAAATGTAAATGCAAGTGCGTTAAATTTTCCAGGAAGCAGTATGCCCACCACTCTTGTATTCTACTTCCGCATTCACATCTCAAACCGAATTTGCCGATGCCATGGCGGATAATCCGGACAGGTTTGTTTCGGGAATACATTGTGTGACGTTATATGACGCGTACATGTGCACGAATACGAGAAGTACGCGACACACGTTTAAACTCGTATACATGCTATACGTCATTATAAAATGTCGATGAATATTTCACGAATTTTCACGAATTTAACATAACGACGAATAAAAAGTAACCCAATCCCCCCAGTCAATCGGGTCTCGCATTATATTTAAATTCTATTTTTTTTAATCATCCGAACATTTTTTTTTTTTTAATCCTACGTTTGGACATATATATTTTTTATTTCTCTCTTATTCTTTCTTTTTTTTTTATTATTAAATTCTTTTTTTATTTTAAAGAGATTAAAAAAAAAAAAAATTAAACTAATAGAGCATTTATACAAAAACCGGGATTAAGATTTGAAATATTTTATGCGACTGTTGCCAAAAGAGAAAAGCTCGGTAAATTTTTCGTTTTTATTCGCATTTTAAGTCGGTCAGAAATATGCTAGTCTTTTTTTTTTTTAATTTGGTGCATTTCTGTCTTGTTGGCGGGTTTGGATGGAATTTCAGAAAAATTCCAGACGAAGCAAGAACAATTAGTGTATTTTTCCTGATCGAGAAAGAGCTTTTTCTTTTTTCAAATCACGCTTAAAATTTGTTTATAAGAGGAATATGAGTTAATCGCGTTATTTCGAATTTGAGGTGTTATATTTTTGCGATTACAATATGAAATATTAAAAATAGTGTGTGAGACAGTCTAGAAATATTTTTCTTAACCTTATTAGAATATTTAGTTAATCTCATGATTTATTTATTACTGTCTTAAATGGAACAGTCTCAGTTTTCTTTATTTTTTGTTGCTTTTTTTTTATACCGGGTAGGTAGGACCCGGGGTGGATCAATTAAATCCTATGAAATTTTGTCCCCTCACGTAAATAATATCTAACGATCCTGAAGGACGTAAACTCCGAGGTACGTTTAAATCACGAGAGATTATTTTTAATAACCCATTCTGTCACGTTAATCGTCCGCAAAGAAGAGAATAAAAAGAGAGAGAGAGAGAGAGAGAGGCAGAGAGAAAAGGGTAAAAGGAAAGAGAGGCAAATATAAAAAAAAAAGATATATTTATAAGTACTTAAAAATAAAATCAATTAGTTCGATCGGTTATAATAATTATACTTTTATTTATTCGTATTTGAATTTAGATTGATTTGTATAAACGATGATCAATTGGTTAAATATATTTTCATGTACAAATTAAATCACTTTAAAAATCAATGAAAAATTAATATAAAAATATAAAAAAAGAAGTATCTAAACGATTGGACGATTTTGGAAAATATATTAGTGGGGGGGGGGGCTTACGTCTAGACACGTATTATTACGTTCAAAAATATAATTCTAAAATTAAAAGAAAAAACACACCAAAAAGGGTATTGTATTTGCTTTTTTTCCCCCATCCCTTTCCCCCTCCAACCATGCCGTGAGCAGGCAAATTTTTATCTCCGGTTAGGAGATGCAACGAGAGAATCAAGAGAGAGAGAGAGAGAGAGGAAATGGAAATGACCGATCCGGTCTAAGTTTTTTTTAACGATCGATCGATCGAACGAACGAACGAACGAACGAACTACCGATCCTGGTTTTCTCTTACTCTTTCTCTCTCTTTTTCTGGCACTCGCGATGTCTGACGATATATTAAATGGATTCGTGCCGTTTCCATGAGACTCGACGTTCGCCGTTTTTCTCGTTTACGAGGCGAGAAAGAGTGAACGTTCAGCGGCAATTTATCGGTTCACGGATGCGTATCGTGCTTGGCTATCGATGACGATGCACTAACCGTGTTCCTCGAGATATTCTAGAAATACATATATGTAAGCGAATGCCAACACAGGATAGGATAAGATAGGATAGGATAGGATAGGATAGGATAGGATAGGATTATTCGAAGGATAAAGATCGTTCTTTAACTTGACTTATTCGACGTTATCCGACAATACGCATGAGGTCGTTTATTTAAATTGTCTGTGGTGTCATTCCTCGTTTTAACTCATATATTCGATTAAAGATTATACAAGTTCTAACATCTGATTAAGTTATGCAAAATAAATAAAAAAAAACTTTGATATTTAAATATTAGAAAAGGGAACAAAAATTACGATTGAGAATATTGGAAAAAGGGGATCGATTCTCGAATAGAAAATTGGATCATGTGGATAGAAAATTGGATCAAGACTAAGAAATCGTGTGTTCTTTACGTATGTATAACAATCGTTACAATGTTTCAAGATTACGATCGCTAAATCTAATACTAAAGGTATTTTCCTTCCAACTGAAATAACGTTTATGTATTATCAAACATACGGAATACGTTTAGCAAGGTCTGATAAAAATATTTCTAAGCATATCCATGCAATACCGTAATTTGGATACGCTTAAGTTTCTATGGTATTTATCGAAAATCGGTTAAAAATAAAATAGTTTGTGAGGGGCTGAGGGTGAAAATGCGATTGGAAAACCATTCCGTTTCGGATAATTTATTTGTAGAAGATAGATGAAAATGTTAGCGATTTCCGGTTAGAAAAGGTCATAGAAATTGTGTATGTGTGTATCTATATGTGTATTTTATATGTATGTATATAGGTTTACGTGTATATGTATATCGGTCGAGCTGGCACGAAACGAGGCAAGCCCAGGGATGTATTACAAGTGCGAGTGGCAACTGCGACCGCGAGTATGACTATCCTGTGGTACAACGTGCTGGAATACGAGCCCGGCATGGAATATATACGCGATAGGAATAATTAATATAGTCATAAACAAGGCTCGCCTTCGGTTTTGCTCTACAAGAGAGTGTGCTCCGATATCGTTCTGCCTAGACATAAAATTGATATCCCCCCGAACCCTATGTGTACACTGTATACTAGAAATATACTTTACTTTGCTTATACTCATACCTTCCTTTCCTAGATCGTAGAGACTTGATAGATGACTATCATATGTTTTAGATCGGGTATCGAGAACAATAGAGTAAGTAATTCATCGTTTTAGAAACATTCACGTGATCGATCTTCGATGAAACTTTTCAATAGACTTTAGTTCCTACGAGAATGAACAAATTTTTGTTAAACATTGTTTCATTGTATAAATCGTTTTCTATGACAGTTCAAATTATATGAGAATAGGTTGATAATTATTAAATAGGTCAAAAGTTTTTTTGCTACTTGAAAATAGATTATTTTATTCTTCGACGATTATCTTTTTTTAAAAGAGCACGTTTTTTTTTTCTTCTTCTTCTTTTATTCAGATCGTAATATTGTTGATTTTAATTGTAATTTTGATTGATTTGAATTTTTTTTTTTTTTTTTTTTTATTACAATATAATGAAAAAATGTCGTTTGGATTATTATTGTACTACGTTGACGAATGTTATATTTAAAATAATTCACATTTACATTTGAATTCAATAAGAGACATTCTTGCTTCCTAATATATAAATCGTCAATGCGTTACGTTTAATGTACCATTTAAATGATTTAAGCAATGATTAAGATCGACATTTAATCGCACCGACATCGTGTGATCAATTTTAATGGTCCATTTTGGTCTCTCTTTCTTGTCGTTGATGAATGATATTTACGTCATTGTTGAAATTTAAACGAATGGAACGACCGTGCGTACTATTATCGAAAGACAATGGAATTCATCGGCTAATGTAATTAATAGTTATATAGTATTCTATTACGTGCTGTTGTTATAGGATACTGCTTTGCGTGTTTTCATTGTTATGTTTCATATACACGCAATAAAATATAAAACGAAACATATATCTATATATATATATCTATATATATAACTGATGAAAAATATTACTGATATAAATGATATTTTTCTCTTTTTAAATATTTTATTATCATTATTATTATTCATATACTTCGATAAAACATCGTTAATTTTATTTGAATTATTTAATATTTATTTATTTATTTATTTTTTTTTAACAAATAGAATAATTTTTGTACAAACGAAGAATAAAAATTGTTTGTTATACGAATAAATGAAAAAAAAAACAAAAACAAAAGAAAAAATTGTAAAAGTAACAACAACGAATTTGTGCGATTTACTTTAATTTAAGAGATAAGAGGTGGAAACAAAAAATAATAGTTTAACACAAGGGGATAACTCAAGTTGGTCCGTCTATAAAGAAACCTTTCTTAT